AAATTATTCTTGTGTGATTTATTTTTTAAAAATTATAATTTTTCTAGCACTTGTAACTCAGGTACTATGTCTATATCATCTAGAAGTTGGATGTACAACAAAAATGCTTTGATTAAACGCGGTTTGACACGTGAATATCTTGATGGTGTAGAAGAATTTATTACATTTGCAAGTGCCCAAACTGAATTTCTTGATAGAGAGAAAATTCGATGTCCTTGTGGGAAATGTAAAAATATGTACTTTGTTACTGAAGACGACTTGCGTTGGCATTTATACACAGAAGGTTTTATTGATAATTATTATACTTGGTATTGTCATGGCGAAGTATTGAATCCGTCATACTTTCCTCAGACAGTTGGCAGTTCACGTGTAGTTCCAGAGTCAGTTTCTGCATGGGGTAATTATGAGAACATGACTTAGGACCAACAGGTTGTGTATGATGCAATGGAACCTAATGCTTTTCCTGCATCGTCAAATTTTAATGATGTTCCGAGCTCATCGTCTCATCAACATACTGACGATATTAATACATTGTCTATTTTTAGAAGTGTTGAAGGCAGCTGACGAGCTGTTATATCCTGATTGCGATGAGAAATCGACATTAGCTGCCGTGTCAGAAATCTTGAGCATAAAGTCGGATTGGAATCTCCCAGAGGCCTGTATGTCAAGATGGTTACAAACTGTTGGAGCGTGGTTACCAAAAGATCATAATTTACCTACAAATTTTTATACTTTAAAGAAGATGATTTCTGAGCTAGGACTCCCAGTTGTTAAAATTGATGGATCTTTAACGTTATTCTTGCAACCGTTACCTTGGAACGAATTTGTTACAAGCGACGCCGTCTCTATTGTTGGCACGGACGTGATTTCCGTGCCAAACAGTTTAGAGCTTCGAAATTGGCAGCCTTTCGTATCCGTGCCAAAACCCGTGCCTAATAGCATAGCCACGGGAAACTAAAATTGTTGTCCGTGCCAAAAGCCGTGCCAATCCCGCATTTTTTTTGTAGTGTAATAAATTTATATGAAAATGCAATATATTTTTTCCGTAATATACGGTCAAAGTTTTAAAAGTTTGACTACAAAAGTCAAAG